TGTACTACTTAGAAAAATAACAAATGGCAACCAAACTGCAGTGAAATGATAAAAAATTCATAGATTTAGAAATTCATACTGTAAAAATAGAAAAACGCAATGGGACAGGTGTATAGAAAAAAAATTGAAAGACAGTTAAGTAACTGTACAAGACGAGTATCCTCTACTAAACAAAAATAAGTAAAATAATTAACATTCAATTTAAAAAATGAGATTCACATGCAAAAACACAAAGACTAAGAGATAAACGTATACAAAAACTATCATTGTTTTATACTTTAACTGGCAAAGCTATAAATTTCGAAGACCTTTTATTAGTCATGAGACATCAGATTTTTGAATATATCTAAGAATTAGTTCATACAGGTTTACATTGCGTTAAAAAAATTAATAGCAATATGAAAAATTATTTGACAATTACTAGAAAATAAAATATATTACCTTTTTCAACTGTCATAACAGAATCTGTTCAGTGCAGCGTAAAACATTTGTGTAAAATTTTTAGGCTATTTCTAAATAATTGTATATAATTTTTCTCAATTTACAAGACCTTACAGCAAATTTAAATTGAAATTTATTGAATAAATGTCTTATCAAGTAAGTGGGGATTTCAAGAAGAAAGCAAGGACCTAGCCGTGCATACACATACTTTTGAAGATTCGCCCATTCTACTCACTTTTCTAATCAAATATTAATAATACCCCAAGCGCTAAATCGTGTGTATCGTGGTTCATAAAAGTCACAATCATAAATAACAACTAAAACGACTCACTGATGCATGTTTTAGCAATATGACTTAATTATATAAAAATAAAATAGTTATATTCTACGAAAAAAAAAGGTTGTCTAAGTACCTATTTAATGAGCCCACTGCGTTTACAAGCAGACTTTACTGTCTCGGAATAGTTCTGACGTTGTACATTGTGAGCTTTTTTAATTAATGTTTATTTAAGTAAATGAATTTTAATTCTACTAATAATCTATTTATTTCATGAATTTAACTCCACAAGTAGAGTAATTGGACATCCACTGGTCCCGTAGCCTGCAAAGGAGCGTTAAACTCATCCACAACGCTTTAATATTTTTGAGATGTATAAGTTAAATACTCAAAATTAAAAGCTTACATTTATTATGTTTTACTGTTTGTATTTCAATTAATTTAGTTTTAACATTAAAAATTAATTCAAACTAGTCAAGTTTTTTTTATAATTTTCGTATCGATAATTACACTATCAAACATTGCGCTCATTTAATATTTAATCGACTTTTTTAAGAACAATTTTATTGTTAAAACAAGCAACTTCATTCAAAAACTTACTAACAATAAATTACCTAAGCCATAAAAAGAGCGCAAAGAATTTGTTGCTGTGCAGCTTCCTTGTCTTTTTTTCGTATAATTATTATAGACTTAATCTATTTTAAACATAATTCTTTAACAAAACCACAGTAATCCTTAATTTGAAGCAACTTATTTTTAATATTATCTATTTAAAAACTGCTTTTAAAGATTTTATACGAAAAATTTTTTTTATAAAATATTTCATGGTATGTAGAAGTTTTTAACGTAAAATAGGATGAAAAAAAAACTTATTTTCAAAAACGAAAAAAAGAAGGTAAATAAAAACAGCCATTAGGATTGAAATTTTAAATTTAAGTAATAATACTTATTGAATCATGAAAAAAAGCTATCCTAGTAATGCAAAAATCTTTTGGTATAATCCTTAAATATGACTAACTATATACGTTCACCTATTAATACCCTCACACATTCACATACCTAATTTTTTATACGCGTATACATCGTAAATAACTCAGTAATTTTTTCAACTTTCTATTTGTATCGTAAAATACCCTAAAACAACATTTAACGCGTTTAACATCAATTTTTAAAATAAAAAATGAAAAACTTTCCACAATGGATAAAATAGAAGTAAAAACAATTAATCACATACTGATGTACTTGAATATTCATACAAATCCGTAAGCTTTTTGTATACTGTATGTTTCATACAACTTTTGAGTATCAAAAAATAAGAAACGGTAGTTTATTCAAATTGACTAAAGGAAGATTGATATATAACTGACAACATACACATACACATGCGTGCGTGCACGCGCAAGAGAGAGATCAATACCTTTCCTAGGTTATTCTATTATAAATTTGAGAAGCACGTTTCCATCACGTTGTCTTTTAACTGATTCTTCATAGATTCGTTAACTTACATTACAAGTAAAGAAGAGCAGAAGAAGTTTATGCAACAAAAAATTAATTTCTAATGATCAATTAAGGCAATTCTTCGATATGATTGTTAACATATACGTATGCGTTTGTTCATCCACATGCACCCACCAGTATTTTTTTATATTTTAAGTATAACATTATTTCTTCTGCACAATCCAATAATATTTCAGAGTCCTTAACACAAACTGTGCTTGAATAAAAAAGAAACGCATTCATTTATTGGAAAAAAAATTAACTGTTGAATCCAATAAAACTACAAAAAAACCAACCGATTCAATTGAAATTTTTTTTTATCAACAGTGAAAGGTATAAGGCAGTTAAGCATTTAAGCTCAGGATGATAAAAATCGTTTTAGGATGTCCTGAGACATCAATTGTACGCGTGGGCATATATGTATACATCCACATGTACCTTATATTTTTCTAAATGAGAATCCTAAAAAAATGTTAGTGTTGAATTTGTTGATCATCAAAGTAGATTCTTTGGTATAAACATTCAACATTGATAAAAAAAGGCAAAAACCAATTTTTTCTTCAGCAGTAGCATCTAAGTATCAAGAAATAGCAAAAATAGACCAAGGTTACTTAAATTCGTCGGTGGAACTCATAAATGGCTAATTACACAATCGCATTACATTTATACACACGCGCGCGCGCGCGCACAGAGAGAGAAAGAAAGAGAGAGAGAGAGAATATAAGAGGTGAGGGGCCCTTACCTAGTCTTTTAATGTTCGTGAGTTAATTGAAGTTCTTAAAAACGACTTTTATTTTGTATTTGAAAAAAAATGTGACGAACCGTCTTTCGATCCAAGACAAAGGGTATGATGACTATCGAAGCTTTGAGAGCTTAATTACCAACATCACGTATCTTCGCATAAATAAAGAACCCAATCTCTTTCCTCGCACCGTTGATCAACCTAGGTTATCTTAAACAAAAACTAATACGAACATACATGTACTTTAATGGGAGGTTGTACATTTCTAATAATTACAGAGACTGCCTAAAAGTTTTTGAAAAAGTCTTTTACACCAAAATGCAAGAACTGGTGTCTGCTGCATAAAATATACGTAGATGATTGCTTTCTTGTGGTTCGTTTGAATAGTATTCATACAGTTTCACAGCCCCTCAATAAATTAGAGCTTTTTGTACGATTCACGGTGCAACATTAAATTGATAATACAATTTTTTTTTACTAATTTTATGGCGAATACATTTATGCAGTAAGCACTCAGCCTCCAAAAATGAATTTAATTTTTCTTGCAATTATGTAACACAAAAAATTACCATTCTTTCATCTCTGATTGATAAATACTTTTTAACTTTTAGATCTCAAGTTCAGATCTCATAACATTTGCCAAGATAAAAGCATGAAAGTAAAAAACTGCTACTTTTTCCTACTTATTAAAAAATTCAGTACAGCCTAAATGAGTATTATCAGTAGACGTAGCAAGAGTAAAAATCAGCTTGACTCAGGTACTAAATATGCAACAGCTCATCCTATTGGTAACAATACTCTTAGAGCTCTGTTACTGATCATATCTTTAATCCCTGATCTAGAAAGAACTCTCTGCTAAGTTTTTTTCAGTACACAATAAGAGTCATCTTTCGAAATTCCAATTAACATACAAACATTACACAATGAGGTAAGGATCCCATGTCTAAGCTACAAAAAATGTTGGCCAGAGTAAGCAAGCATAAGCCAGTTGTAATTTGTGTTATGATTGTATTATAATAAGCTACGATTTGTTTGATAACCTGTTTTTACTGACCCTCGGCTCAGTCATGCTGAGTATGCGCCTGTCTTCGCTTCTTATCGGAGCAAATTTTTGTCATGCATTATATATACTTTGAATGTTACTTATGTTGGATATGATATTTTATATAGTTTCTTGTAAAGAAAGACTTGGATGCATTGAAACTTAATCAAAGTTCAATTAACTGTTATGCTCTTATTGTCTGACTATTCAATTGAAACCCACATATGAAAGGATAGGGAATAAAAAAATTGGGTAAATGCCCCTTAATTATTCATAATTATATTAGTTCTTACTCTATGATAATAACTACCCTGAAAAATTTTCAGCTTTTGTCTGATTTTTATCTTTTTTTTTCGCAAATCATGTTATATTCATTTTAATCTTGCATAACTATTTTTTTTTAATTTTTACATACAGTGGCAGCTCAGATTTTTTCGTAGATGTATTTCGCTGCTCGTCGGGTAAAAAGTTTTTAAAACAAGTACGATTTATTTGATTTGATGAATGATTTTATTACGGAACTAGATTCAATTTTTAATTTTTTTCAATATTTACTTTTTCTGATATCTAACTCTGACTATTATTTTGTTGGTAGAAAAAGACATTTTTGTAAGTAATTTAACTTTCAAGATTTAGTAAAATTGTAAGAAAAGAGATAGTTCAAACAAAAAAAGTTTGTAGTTTATTTTCTACTTTACCTGTCAAAATAAAAGATGTTGGAGCAGAAATAGTTTTTTATGTTTTCCTAATTTTTTTGTAATTAAATTTAATATTTTAATTTTATAGTAAAGATTCGTTGATTATATGTTCATTGAAAATGGAGTAAGCATTAAGGCTTAAAAATACAATACTGTTTTATATACATACATTTTTAGTTTCTACAAAATCATTATATTTATTATGTTTGCATATACCATAATTTATATACCATTTAACATTGTTCACAAGCCATTTTAATTGTTCGCCCAAGTATTTATTCGAAAAATAATAGTTCTACATACCTTCAGGATCTAGAAGTCTAGTAACATTGTATTGATGCTCAGCGATGTGAAAGACTCGTTCAAGTCTTTCTCGTGGTAGCGAAGATCGAGCACTACGCCAGTCTAGAAGGTCAGGTCTGTTTCTATGCAGAAGAGCACTAAAAGCCAAACCATCTCTCCAGGATGTTGTAAAGTCAAGAATATGCACGCTTGGATAGCGGGCTGTTGATCTTCGAGCCCATCTTAGCAATGCTTCTTTAGCTGTGACATGCGACTCTTGACCAACAACGATATCAGAAATCTGGAAACATATAAATCTTAAAGTTTTTTGTACGATCATTGCAACTAGCGTTTGAATAGAAAAACTAAAATATTGTGACATATGAATTTACCTACAAATTTAATGTATCATTTTTGGTCATCAGAGCATATTTAATGCTTCTGAGTTGAATTGTAAAAAAACGTTTGTAAATAAAATTGTCTATATCTGTATTTAAAAGCAGAACTAAAAAAGTAACCCTGTAGAAATAATTTCAACAATACTAAATTACAGTTAATCTTTTCCTAGTCATCTACCTCTATCTCCTAAATCTTCAGCATTTTACTCTGGATAAAAAATATAGATGTACGTTGCTGTTTAATACATGAATACATTTAAAAACTCTCATTCTGTCACAAACACACACACACACACACACACACACACAAAAACACACACACACACACACACTAAAAAAAAGAAGGAGTTTATGTATTTTTTCTTCAAGTGCCAATGGTAACAACAATACAATTTAAGATTAGGTCCAGCTTTCAAGAAGTGAAGGTGTCAGAGGCATGAACATTTAGAAATTTTGAGTTGTCAGGTGATCTATTTGTTTAAATTCATAGTTAAAAGTTTAAATAGCATAATAATGTAACAACTTAAAAAAAAAAATTTTATCCAAACTAAAAAGTCATTTTGAAGCTACGAACTAAGCTGCAACAAACATGTTGAAACAGTAGCCTAATGTAGTAGATGACTTTTCAATGTAGGTTTTTTCAGAACATAATAGCGTTAACCAAAAAAAATGTTTTTTGTCTCGGTCATTTAATTGATTCAGAATACATAAATTGTTAATACATTTATCTTGAAATAAGTTCATATGTAAATAATAAGTGTTGCTATGTTCACTTTTGTTGCAAAAGAGAGCAGTTTGGTTTAAACGATGAAAGGGTTGAGTGGTGTCTTTGATTATAAATAAACCTGTAAAAGTTCACTCGTTAAGTTAAATTTAACTTATCTCCATGATACTGGCTGTTGTAACTATATGTTGTGGTCGAAACTTGAAACACACTTTTTACGTCCTTCGAATGAAACACTTTTTTGGGTGCTTTTCCAGTTCCATACTTTTTTTTTTTACCTTTCTTTTCTGAATTGCAGCCTCTAATCGACAAAATAAGATTGTGGATGATTACGAAAGAAAGTAGTGACCAGCATTACTAACGCCCTGTAACACCTATGCAGCAGCTGACAAGACCGTGGTCCCTTGCTGACAAGTTGTCGTTTTTCTTCTAAGAAGTCTTGCTGACGCCCCATGTGCTCATATAACTTTAACTACCACGCCACTGACATGGTCTCCAAAGATTGGAATAATCTTATGGCTGACGTCGTATTTATCACTAAGATAAAGCATTGTGCACCCATTTCCGCCTAAGTCAACACTACTGCGATTCCTGACCGACAATATGACGTACTGCTGCTCAAAGACTACTGTCACGCCAAAAAGATCAATAGCATTATATGTGCGCATGTAAATACTAATAGGGCTTCAGCTCCCTGCTCACTCCATTCGCAAACCCCCCCAATTTTTGGATACAAGTGAAATACTAAATTTTTTAAGTTTGCCTATCGAAATCGAATAAATACAAAAATCGTACACTTTCACATGTGATTGAAATTTTACAACAAAAATATATATCATGAGAAAGTTTAAATTTACCTACACCGGAAAAATTTATATAAAAGAAAAAAGTACCATTAAAAAAAATGTTTTCTGTACTTCAATGTTTCATTCAATGCATAATGAATTAAAAATCAATTTACGATTGACAAAATTAAATGTGATAAAAAGATAAAATTTTCTTTACTAATGCCCCAGGAGGTTCAGAAAAAATATTTTTATTCAAAACGTCAACTTTTTATTTCATATGGCATAGACTGGTATAACATCAACATTATTGGCTGAGTCAATAAGGCTCTTTTCCCCTCGATAATGAACTTTTTTGTTACGATGCATTTTCATTTTTGGATAAATATTGATAAAATTCACTTATAACTTATTCTGCTATTCACAGTTTAAGTTAGTGGGGCAACATTTTTTAATTCAACAATTTCTGGAAAAACATCACTTTTTTTACTTTTTGCGGAATGTCTCCTTTTCAGTGCCTTTTTGCAATGTACGCCTTGTAGATATTTTATTCCTTAAATACTAACCTACAAAATAGCGATTGTTAAAAGTTGCAACACATTTTTTTTTTTAATAAATTGCGTTCAAAGTCGGAAAATGTTTTTTTCCACATCAAATATCTCAAACACATAAGTATTTACAGACTTGAATTTTCAAAACATATTGCTACCACTAATATAAGTAAACATACCAAACTTCAAAACGATTGGTTTTAAACTTTTTAATACATTAACGATCAAAACTTTTGAAAGAGCTTAGTTGCATAATGCCCCAAAGGTTCTGGTGCCGTCTAATTTTGATGAAACATGTCTTAAAAATAAGAAAAAACCATTTAAATTTGATATCCCGTTGAAATTAAAAAAAAAAATAATTTTTACGAATTGTATAAAGATTTCTTTGACCATATTGGCTTACGACAGACGTAAGAAACCATATAATAATAGTAATTTATTGACAAAAACCGCAAAATAATTGAGAATTTTTAGCCTCTCTCCAAAACATCGGTATAAAAGTTTTAAATATCTATGTACATTATACGGTCGGTATTTATGCAACTGCCTTCTTTAAATTGTAATAAAAATATTTCGTATTCGTGTATATCTCGTCAAGTTACCCAAAAGCAATTCCAATAAGATTTTTATAGGTGGTATGAAAAGTAAGATACACGAGGTTTCACAAGTTCGTATGATTTGAAGCGCAAAAGTTCAGTTTAGCGTCGGAGCCGAGCCCGACCACTAGCTTCTCCCCCCCCTCCCACTTTACCTTTATTTGCCTGTCAGCGCGCTTGGCTACCGTACGGTAAGCTTGACGTTTGTTTCCTCACACTGAACATTTTTTTTAAATACAACTGTTAAACTTAAGCCTTACTAAATTGTAGAAATCAACAACAAAAAATACGCTATCACAAATTTTTATTTTTTTTATTTTTTCTCGGCTCGAGAAGGTTCTACAGTAAAAATTTTTTTTTTTGCTAATTATTAAAAAAATGTAAGATTTAAAATGGGCAAAAGCAAATCTTCAGAATAAACGATAAAAAGTTGGTTACGATAGATAGTTTGTTACGTCTGTCATAAGCCAATATAGTCAAAGAAATCATTATAAAACCGGTCAAAATTAATTTCTTATAATTTGAACAGGATATCATATTTAAATAGTTTTTTGAATTTCTAAGCCAGGTTTGATCAAAATTAGAATCTTTGGGGTATTATGCAACTTAGCTCCTTTAAAAATTTCGATCGTTAATGTAATTAATAATTCAAAACCAATCGTTGCAAAATTTGGTATGCTTACTGGTATTAGTGATAGAAATATATTTTAAAAGTTGTTAGTCCGTAGATAATTACGTATTTGAGATATTTATTGTGGAAAAAAACAACTTTTCTGACTTTAAACGCAATTTATTTAAAAAAAAAAAAAAAAAAAATCTAGCAACTTTTAACATCCGCCATTTTGTAGGTAAGTATATAGGGACCGTAACCCTACTAGGCATATTTCGGGAAAAACGGATTTAAGAGGAGATATTCTGCAAAAAGTAAAAAAGTAATTTTTTTTACAAATTGTTATGATAAAAATGTTGCCTTATTAACTTAAACTGTAAATATAATAATTCGTAATCAGCAAATTTTTTTACTATTCATCCAAAAATAATTCGTCGTAATAAAAAAAATGAGGTCATCTTGTTTCCTCAACTAAGCTATACTCTAAAAAAAAAAAAAATGACCAGTTATAAAACATTTCGTTTTACATTAAAATAAATCTGTATAAAAAGTTCCTTCCTAAAATTTAAATCCAAAAAAAAGTTACGAGAAGTAGATACTACAGCAGTGCTCGTATACATACAGGTACAGCACTCTATCAGCAGCTGCGTATTTTAATTCGGATTTTCGTGAGTTACATAGCTCTTGAGTATAAAAAAAGTGCACCAGGAGCTGCTTCCTGAGATAAATATAGTTTAGAAGAACGCACGGGCCTTATTGTCATCAAAAACGTATGTACGGAGGAAAAGTAGCCTCCGAGTCCTATGCTGCGCATGCATATGCGTTGACTCTTCCGCGCTATGTTGAATTTCTTATCCCCTCCAGTGGCCCATGTTACATCCCAATCCGGAGATGGTCACAGCTGCTTATCGCGAAATAGAAGCGATGTCATAGCAGCAAACGCCTCTAACCGACCGCCCACAGCAGCTGATATACGATCTGGAACCCGCTCATAAACAACCAAAACGCCCAGTGACGCCAAGCAGATGGTATCTGAGCGTGAGTGCAAGTGCGAGGGCGAGTGAGAAATAAAAAATAAAAAAAACATCAAAAAAAAAAAAAAACCAAAGTGATTTAAGTGCAATTTGAAAAAAATTGTAATAATAAGTGAAGACTTTAAAAAAAAAAATTAATTAGAAATAAATACAGTAAATAAGCGCATTCCTTGTATTCAAAAGTTAAAAGACAAAAGAAAAAAAAACCAGAGTAATTTTTTTTGAAATAATAACGAGCTTGACAAAAATACAAAAATACAGCTTTAGTTTTCCTTTTCATTCGTTGTGCAGGCAGGCTACTAAATTCGACTCTGAAGTGACGCAACTCTAGTGCATTCATTTGCCTAGAGGCGTATCGAGTAAGCTAAGTCCCTGTGCATTCAATTACACGAGCTGAACGGCTCTACGCAACGCTTACCTTAGGAGTTCAAATCGGAAGCTTGTACGCTCCAAATAGTACCTCACCTCTATAATACATTGCTAAATAGTACTTTTTTTTTAACTTTCTATAATACTGCTATCGAAGTGAAAGAAGAAAGCGTCTCGCCTCCACTGGTCGAGTCCCCTGTATCTAGACCTGTAAATCCTTTAGTAAAAAATATG